TTTCTTTTTTTTGTGGTACCTGGGATCAAATTCAGGACCTTGCACTTGCCAAGCAGGCACTTGTGCCACTGAGCTATATCCCTGGCCTTTTTTTTGTCTTTTTGAGACAGGGTCTCGCTGTGCAGTTCAGGCCAGCTGTGAGCTCACTTTGTAGCCCAGGCTGGTCTTGAACTCACAACAATCCTCCTGCCTTAGCCTCCCAAGTGCTGGGATTTCAACATACCTCCTAACCAACAGGATGAAAATGTAGAGCGCATGTTGGGGTAATTCTGAAGACAACTACATTCTATACTAGATGGGCTTTGATCTTTATTCTATACTTATTCTTGTTCTAAAAATCAAATTTGTCTTAGAACAAGAATGGGTATAGAATAAAGATCAAAGCCCATCTGTATTAAAATGTGGCAAACCTGGCTTTAGGATGATCTTATATAAAAACTGAGGATTTATGTTCAAATAGTCAGCAGTCTGATTTAGCAAATGTCAAATAGGCTGAGACAGTATTACAAAGGAATATTGTATCCAGAACAAGTGTGGCAAGGTTTCTGCCATGCTCTCGGCAAGGCGGAACTACCTAGCAATAGTCGTTTTGGAAGCCACACTTCAAAGAGTGTTGTTGGCAAACAGGACTATTTTTTTAAAAGGGAAAACAAGATTGTGATTTCTCTTCAGTTAACGATTCCCTGCTTACTAAGTACTGCTGACCATGTTAATACAACTGAAAGACATGGTCCCTGTTCTTGATCTTGTGGTCCAGTAGGGGGAAACAGCCTGGTTAAGTTCTGCACAATGGGCTTTTGAAGCAGAACATAATTTAGCCCAGATTGTTGGAAGCTGGTGAAGGTGTTCTTGGGAAAAAGACAGCTAGAGGGTTAACGAATACCTAAAAATAGTAGGAGTCAGCCACAAAAGGCTGGGAAGGGAAACTTGCCCACAAACCACTGAAAGGATTAGAGAAGCTACAATATACTAAAGTTTTGAATATTTGAAAACTTGAATAGTATAATGAGACTTAAACAACTTTACAGTTCCTGAAATAAGACAAATGGACATGAATTTCAATTCTGTAGGTGAAAATTCATTTATTTAGTGAAACCCTACATTAAAGCATCCCAACATAATACAAATTCAAATATAATGTGAATAGTGACTAGCTCATCTCATAATAGGCTCGTATGATCATTTATGAACTACAACCTGATACTACCTTTTTACAGGATTGTTTCAGATCCCACCCATATGCTAAACTTTGCCGTGATTCTTTTATTAACTAGAGCTGTCTAAACGAGAACTTGCATAGTAGAATGGGAAACTTTGGAGAACTACATATATGTATTGTTTTGAGGCAGGATTTCACCATGCAACCCAAGTTGGCCTGGAACTTTGCTTTGTAGCTCAGGTTGGACTAAAACTCAGGAACCTTTTGCCTCAGCTTCCTGACTGTTGGGATTATAGGCATGTACCACCTTGACCAACTCAGAGGTGTTTGTTTTGTTTCGATACAGGGTCTCACTATGCAGTTCAGGCCAGTGTTAAACTGTATGCTTACATCTGTTATGGTTTACAGTAAGTCCTTGACTTATGAACAAGTTCAGTTCCAGGAGAACATTTGTAAATCAGATTCATTCTTAATCTGATAAAATGATTCTTATACAACTGTGAAAGTTTGCAACTTGAATGTTTGTTAAGTTGGGGACTTACTGTACATCTAAAATATCCCCTAAAACCTCCTATGCTCCCAGGCGAAGCTTTAGGGAGTAAATGGATCATGGACACAATGACTGGATTACTCTCTTGACTAGAGCTACATAGTTCCAGGTGTGGCTAACTGGATTTTTTTTTTTTTATTTTTTTTTTTAGTTTTTCTCTGGTACCAGGAACTAACTGGATTTATTTTAATCAGAAGGCCAGTCATGAATATGAGCGGCACCAACAGGCTTGTAGCTTGAATGGAATAAAAAGGAAAGGAAGGATCACTGCTCACTGCCTTCTGCCTGCCACACCATAAAGTGTTTGTCCTTTGCCAGGTCACCCTGCTTTGGAACCAGCGGACTATGGACTGAAAGCTCCACAAACTGTGAGCTAAAGTAAACCTTTCCTCCTTTAACTTATAGGTAGTGGGTATTTTGTCCCAGCTATAAGAAAAGTAACTAAGACATCTAATGCTGGAATACCACAAAATGAAAGGTAGCTTTGTTGGGTAATATTTAATAGGTGGCGTTATTTATTCCTTTTATATCACATCAGGAAGTACGTGTCTACCTTTGTGATAAGAATTGATCAGTAGGTTCAAGGTGTTCTCTGCTTGATCCATTCATATAAAGTTCGCCATCAGCAAAAAAGAAAAAAGAAAAAAAAAGGAAAAATAGGGTGTGGGTTAAAAGAAATTTAAGGGCTAGGGATATAGTACAGCAGTACAGTGCCTGCCTGGCAAGCGCAAGGTCCTGAGTTCAATTCCTGGTACCAAAAAAAAAAAGCAGCAATTTAAGAGACAAACACCTCTGAGTTGGTCAATCCATGTAGACCAGGCCTGATTAGTACTTGAATGGGAGAACAAACTAACTAAAAAAATGTTTATGAGACAACCTGGGAAATTTAAACACTGCTTGAATATTTGACAGTAACAATATAGTGTAGGTACTGGGTGTGGTGGCACACGCCTGTAATCCCAGCACTCGGGAGGCTGAGGCAGGAGGATCCTTGCGAGTTCGAGACCAGCCTGGGCTACAAAGTGAGCTCAAGGCCAGCCTGAACTACATAGTGAGACCCTGTCTCAAAAAGACAAAAAACAAAACAAAAAATATATATGTATAGTGTAGGAATGATACTGTCCTTGTTTAGAAAGGGGGGTTCTCATCCTTTAGGCATACATGGTGAAGAATTATGAGTGAAATATGAATTTGCTATAAAATAATCCAGAGCAGGGGTGGGGCAGAGGGGAATGGATGGCCCCAGAGATGAAACTGGCTCTGCTGTTAGTTGACGAAACTGGGTGATAAGTACATGAGTATTCTATTTGTATGTTTGAAATTATCCATTAAGAAAAATAATTCTAAGAGGTATAGTTCAGCAGTAGAGTGTGTGGCTCAAGGGGCTGGGTGTAATCCTTAGCAATCAAACAACAAAAATTATTGCTTTACATGCAAAATACAAAACCATAAAATAGAAGAAATTATTGGTTAATGTTTATGTAAACCTAGGATAGAGGCAGTGATGCAAATGGGCAGAAATTGTAAAGAAAGAAATCAACTGATCCGATGATATGACAATGCCAACTTTTTTGTTACCAGGAATCGAACTCAGGACGTTGCACTTGCCAGGCAGGTGCTGTGCCGTTGAGCTATATCCTTGGCCCAAAAAATGCCAACTTCTATGAAAAGCTCCATATATAAAGCAATGAGCTAAACTGAAAAATACCTGTAACACATGACCAAAGACAAAAAATTCTTCATATATAAAAAGATGTTATAAAATAATAATAGTAAACTACCTCAGGGAATAAAAATGGTAAAGGGTATAGACAATTTTTAGAAGAAATATAGATTGAGTAGACTGCAGCACTAATCCTAACATTAAGAAACAAAGAACATGTGAAATAGTAATAGGAAACCAACTGAAATAAATTATGGCACACATATCTATACCATTGAATATTAAGTAGCAATTCAAAGTGATAGTACAGAAACTAGAGAATGTGCATCCACAAAGATAACATATATTTTCATTTTCATAAAAAATGATGGGTTTGGAGGCTGGGTGTGGTGGCGTGCACCTATAATCCCAACACTCACAATGCTGAGGCAAGAGGATTGCCACAAGTTCAAGACCAGCCTGGGCTACATAGTGAGTTCCAGGCCAGTCTGATTACACAGCGAGACACTGTCTCAAAAAGCAAAAAAAAAGAAAAAGAAAAAAAAGATCGGGTTGGGAATGCAGTTCAATGTTACAGTGCTTGCATAGCATGCACAAGGGCCTAGTTTTGATCCTCAGCTCACAAGAAAAAAGAAGAGATTATTTACATTGATGAATAGGAAGGAGTATGAAAAAATATTAACTAATTCTGAGATTATAAGCTTTAAGCAGTTAAAATTTTTTTCGCTCATATTTGTTTTAGCTGTAATGAATCATTTTTGTGAAAACAAATCTTTGAAGATTAGTCCCATCAATAAATCTATAAACAGCCTAAAAATTTCTATTAGCAATGGTTTCCTCTCCAATTTTTTGGAACTCATTGACTATCATTTTTTGGAGGCAAGGATAGGGGGAAACTGGTGATCTAACCCAGGGCTCTACCACTGAATTATATAATCCCACCCTCATAGTTATATTTTGAGCCAAACATGTACATAAAAAGCAGAATACATAACACATGCCCTCATTCTCAAAGTGTCTGAAAAAACCTCCAAGCCAGGCATGGTGGCACATCCTTGTAATTCCAGCATTTTGGGAGGCTAAGATCTTAAATTCAACCCCAGCCTGGGACCTAAGTCACTTAGTGAGAAACTGTCTAAAATGAAAACAGAAGAGTCTGGCATGTAGCTCAAGTGCAAAGACCCTGATTTGGGTTCAATCTCTACACTCTAGGCTGGGAATTTAGCTCAATGGCAGAGTGCTTAAGCCCAGCACACACAAAGCCTCGGGTTCGATCTCTAGCACTACCAAAAAAAATAGAAAAATAAAAACATAAAGAAAGAAAAAGAAATGGAAGAATCAAAAATACTTGGAAGGAAAAGAATAAACATTAACATTGGCAAAGCCACCAGGGCAGGAATATTCTATACACTACTGACAAAAATTCTAGGAGTCCACTGGGTTTGAGTATTAAATCCTGTAACATCAAAAAGTTGGTTCCATGAGCTGTCAATAATAGTCATTTTGAAAGCAATGTATCAGCACAATGGTCCCCAGATGCTCTTCCACAGGTTCAAAAATCTTTTGCATCAGTCATCAATCAGACCCTCCAGCTGTTGTGAGAGAATCCAAGAAACAGAAGCCAAAACTGGGGATCAACATGAACAGTAATTTACCAATGATTCCCTTGCAAATATCACATTTTCCAGTAACAAAGTTTTGCACAGAAGTTGGAATTCAAAAGTCCATGTTTTACTTGAAAACTTATATTCACAGTGTTTTCATGAAAATAGTTGTCTGCTAACATAAATTGCTTCTGCATCAGTTCCACAAACAAGACAAGGACCTAAAACATCCAAACTGTTCACTGACAGAGTCCTGGTGGGAAGCAAGCTTGTGATTTCAATTCGGTCTCTTGCAGGATCAGTGCTGAGCCAGGAACTTATCACAGACTGGTGAACATTAGCCTGATTACCAATGCTGTGAGACAGAAATGTACTGGATCGTCCTCCTGGGAGAAAAAAAAGAAAAGGTAAAAAGACTAATTTCAAGACTAATTTTATGTTAGTAAACATTTGTTTTTGGTACCGGGAATCAAACTCAGGACCTTGCATTGGCCAAGCAGGTGCTTGTGCCGCTGAGCTGTATCTCCGGCCCATCAGTAAACATTAAAACTTCTGATATTTCAGAAAAGTAATCATTTCATAGCCTGAAGGTAATTTTATGCGGTACTTTCAGTGCACCTAAGTTTTGACTGTGACTCATCACATGGGGTCTGGTGTGGAAACTTCCACATATGGCATCAAAGTTTCAGAATTTGGAGCATTTTCGATTTCAGATTAGGGTTGCTCAACCTGTATTGTTAGAACCACTGTGGTCTCTCTGGTCTCTCTGCCTCTACTTTTTAACTTCTTCTACTTGCCAGAGCAGCCAGTGATTCTTGGAAATGGGAGTTCTACCATTCCCTCATTCAAAATTCTCTGATGGTGGCTTATCATGCTTGGAATAAAATCTTGTCTTTATGTTGGCCTCCAAGTCCTCTGAGATCTGTCCCTCGGCCAGCAGTCCTTATGTCTTACCACTCCCCTACCCTGTTAAGCGAACTGGAGCCACAGTGGCCTTGCTATTATCTGTCTGTCTTGGGCTCTGTGTCTATGATGTGTTCATGTGACGCACAGCTTCACCTCCTGGAAGTCTCTGCTGAATGCTATTTCTGAGCCGGCACGCCTATAATCTCAGCACTCGGGGGTGAGGCAGGAGGATCCCTGTGAGTTTGAGGGAGCATGGGCTACATAGTGAGTAGAAGACCAGCCTACATGGTGAAACCCGGCCTCAAAAAAACAAGATAGGGGCTGGGGATTTAGCTCAGTGGCAAAGCGCCTGCTTGGCAAGCGCAAAGTTGTGAGTTCGGTTCCCGGTACTGGAGAAAAACCAAAACCAAAACCAAAACCAAAAACAAAAACAAGATAGCCAGGTATGGTGGTGCACACCTGTAATCCCAGCACTCAGGAGGCTAAGGTAGGAGGATTACCTCAAGTTTGAGGCCTGCCTGAGATACATAGTTCAAGGCCAACCTGAACTACATATTGAGGCCCTGTCTCAAGAAACAAAACAGGGCTTGGGATGTAGCTCAGTGGTTGAGTGCTTGCCTAGCATGCACAAGGCCCTGAGTTCAATTCCCAGTACCACACACACACAAAATTAAAAATTAAAAAAAAAAAAAAATAAAAACCAAAACAAACCAGTCAAATGTAATTTCTGCCAAGTGGCCTTTCCTAATATTTCCCTCTAGAGAGCTTCCCTTGCTCTACCTATACTGTTTATCTTCTCGCTCTGCTTTACTTTTCTTCACTGTAATTACTGGTGTATTTGGACCAGTTATTTCCTGTTTTGCTTTCAGCTCCCTTTCCAGCTTTTCTATGCTCTACTATTTATAATGGGGTGGGAGTCTGCAAGCTGTTTCCCAGGGTCCCCTGCCATTTGCCATCCAGATGAACTCTGCCAATGGGAAGTGGGTGCTAGAAGGCAGAGGAGCAGAGGAACAGCTCACTTCCCTTTTTTTCGTTGTATTTTTTTGAGACAGGATCTTGCTATGTAGTCCAGGCTGGCCTTGAACTGGAAGCAATGCCCCTGCCTCAGCCTCCTGAGTGCTTGGATTACGGGTGTGCACCACCACGTCCACCAGCGGCTCTCCTCCTGACCCAGGTTTCTGGCAGTGACACTGTGGTAGAAACCCCCCCTGCCCCCTGCCCCCGGTTGACATGGTGCCTCTTCTGGTGATCCAAAACCAACTATAATAGCATTTCCAACAGCACAGAGGCAAAAGTATAATGACCCTGATTTCTGGGTATTACTTTTTATTTGCTGTCCCTGCACCCCTCCTTTTCCCTTTTGTTTTTTCAGTCTAACACGTGAAACCAGCTCCTTCTAAATCCAGGGTAGTCTCTGGTTTTTTAAATTGGCCTATTATTGATAAATTATCTTGTCTTTTCTGTTTCTTTTTTTGATGCTAGGGACCGAACCCAGGGCCTTGCACATGCTATATGTGTGCTCTACCACTGAGCCACACCCCTAGCTCATTATCCATTTTTGTCCCATGTGTGTAGCAACACTGTTGCAGGCCCCAACATTTGAGTGCTTACCACATGGTAGGTCTTCAGTAAACATTTCTGAATGAATGACCAAAGCAGCTTTGGAACTATAGACAAATACTCAAAAATAAGAAGCCTGGAAAATACAGGGTCTCACTATGTAGTTTGATTTGTCTCTGAACTCACTATGTAGCCCAGGTTGGCCTTGAACTTGTGGTCATCCTCCTGCCTCAGCCTAAGTGCTGGGATTACAGGCATGCACCATGCCTGGCTCAACTGAATTTCTTTTTTACAAGTGCATAGTTTTTGGTTCAGCTTTACTCACACTGATTTTAATGAGGAGGCAGAGCCTTTTAAATGAAAAGAAACAAGTTCCTTAACATATAAAAGATCTACTTTCTTCTCCACACAGACCCTTCTTTGCCAGCACAATTATAAAAGAGTCACCAATGCCTATCCCGTGGAATGAGGGCCCAGGACAAAGGCAATCACAAAGAAAAACCTTGACTGTCTGAAGGGAACCACTGTATAGCATTTCTAGTCATCAGGAGTGCCTCGGTAAGTAGCTGACAGTAAGCAGTCAGACTTGAAGCTCTATGATATTCAAATCTACACTGGAGTATGAGAACAGAAACATTTTATGACAGTTCAATGTTAAAAAGATGAGAACATCTAATGTGGCAGTTAATAGCATCATATAATGATGCACAAGAATGTTCATTAAGATATTATACCTTGGTGAAAGAGTGAGGATTTCTCCGGCATGTCTATGGAGGCATCCCAGTGCCAGAGGGATCCATCTTCAGAACAAGTAAACAGATGGTCTGGTTTGGATGGGTGAAAGTGAACTTCCCACACTACAAGATAAAAACAAGAAGCTTAGTCCTGTGCAGGTCTGAACAAAGAATATTAAAATTCTGTCTCTCAGCACCATCTTTCATTAGCCCCCACCACATACCTATGAAGCGCAATGCTTTGGAAAATCAAAGGCCTCAGAATTAAAAAAAAAGACAGATTACATTTCCCATGGCTGTAATTCACAGGTAGAAAAAGAAGCCAAGTAAATATACTTGTAGATTAGGCCAGATAAATGAAAGGAAATAACTGATAAAGCATTTGACCTATATTTTCCTTCCCTCTTTCTGGCTCTCCCTTTTTTTCTTTGGTACTGGGGATTGAACCTAGGGTATGCTGAACTATATCACAGACTATTATTTTTTTTTTTTGGGGGGGGCGGTGTTTTTCCGGTACTGGGAACTGAACTCACGACCTTGCGCTTGCCAAGCAGGCGCTGTGCCGCTGAGCTAAATCCCAGCCCCCAGACTATTATT